GCCAGAGATGGGAGAGATCTTAGAACATGGAATGTCAGGGTTAAGAGGGACTTTACAATACTTAGTGTCAGGATTGAAAGAGAGCTTAGAACACAGTGTCAGAGATGGGAGGGAACGCAGAACTGAGCATGTCAGCTGGGAAGGAACTTAAAACACACCAGGAGTCCTGAGGCTGAAGCTGGAACAGGGTGGGGCTCCAGTGTGTGTACCTCTCCTCCTACTAAGGAAAAAGGGGCGAAGGGCAGAGAGCAGGGTGGTGCCTGTGTTGTGCTAGGACCTGCCTCTACCCCAGCAGGCAGTGGGCAGCCTGCCAGGCCCTACCCTCAGCTCAGCCCTCCCTGAGCTGGCACTAGCTGGCGATGGGGGTGGGGGCAAACCCCTTGGGCCACACGAAAGCTCCTGACTGGAAGCAGGACGCTTTCTGGTGGGGGTGGATCTCCTTCCCCTCAGGCCTCACCTGTCTGGGGAACACTTGGCATTCAAGTACAAATCTGGAGCCCTGGGGCCCTACTCCTTTTGACTGTTTGCAGCCTCCGGGTGTCCCCCACCTCACCCAGGGCCCTGGGTGAGCTTGACCCCTTTTGGAGACATCCTCTGTCTCCTCTTTGGGGCTTGTAGAGCTGAAGAGGGGGCTGAGGGCAGCTTCATGTGAGCCCAGAGAGGGAACACAGTCTCTCTCTGGCTATATGCATAGTGGAAAGAGTGGCCTTCTCACGGTGGAAGGGGCAGACCCTGGTATTTCATCTATTAGCTATTTCATCTTCCTGGGGCTCCCTTTCCCTCTCTGAGGTCCCTTATGACTCTGAATACTATTCCAACTTTTGCCCCACTTCTGTCTTCCCCTTCTGTACCACACAAAAAGGTGAGTCTCAGAGTTCTCCCCTACCCCACCCCCCACACCCCAGATCAGTATCACTCTCCCTCCGGAACTCTTCTTGCCTCCCTACTTCCCCATGGGGGATGGGGCAGATGGTGGGGGTGGGGGGTACTATTAGAAACCTCAGTCCCTTTAAGCAAGAGAAGATAGTTCCCATGATGCCCTGTGGGAAAGGAGGGTTCCACGGAATTCTGGGAATCGTAGTTTCTTCTTGTGATATGCAAGCTAGAGGGAGGGTCCTTTGCCATGATGACTTTGGGGCTGGGAACAAAGCCTGCCCCCTAAGTCCATGTGCCTGAATTTCCTCCTTTGGGATCTATTCGGAGCACGGGGCAGAGTTGTCTTACAAATCACAGAATGTCCGGACTAGAAGAGATCTTGGGGACTATCCCAACCCCCCATGTTGTACAATTTGCAGAAAATGAAGCTACTGCAGTATCTTTGCCAAGAGAACCCCAAAGGGGTCAGGAACAGTCAGACACGACTCACTGACTCAATGACAAGGAAGAAAACCCAAAGGCTTTCCATCGGGGCTCTCTCTGTCCATCCGCTCTCTGCACTTGCCTCCGGTGTGATGGGAGGGCTTTCAGGAGTGCTCAGAGATCTCTATTCCAACCCTCATTTCCCTGCTGTGGCATCAGGCTCAGGAGGGCCCAGGACTCCTGTGTGGGCATCAGTTTAGAGGGAGGACTGGGATTTCTGTGAAGTGATTCACCCCCTGCAGGCCACTGAGTCTCTGCCCTCTTCCTCTCAGTGAGAACCTGCTCTGCTCTAGCAGGGCCACTGTGATGGTTTACGATGACGTCAACAAAAAGTGGTTACCGGCTGGCACGGGGCCCCAGGCCTTAAGCAGAGTCCAAATCTACCACAATCCCAGCACCAATGCCTTCCGCGTGGTGGGCCGAAAGATGCAACCGGACCAACAGGTGACTTCCTTGGGCCCTGGCCTCCCTGTACCCCGACTTCTACTGGGGAGCTGGGCCTTGGACAAGAATTTGGGTTCCCTTTGGGGAACAGCCAGGCTAGTAGGGGACCTCCTCAGGCCCTGGCCTCCCCATACCCTGACTTCCACTGGGGAGCTAGGCTTTGGACGAGAATTTGGGCTCCTTTTGGCGAGCAGCTGGGCTAGCAGGGGACTGCCTTTGGCCCTGGCCTCCCCATACCCTGACTTCTACTGGGGAGCTAGGCTTTGGACAAGAATTTGGGCTCCCTTTGTGGAGCAGCCGGGCTAGTAGGGGACCTCCTCAGGCTCTGGCCTCCCTGTATCCCAACCTCCACTGGGGAGCTGGGCTTTGGACAAGAATTTGGGCTCCCTTTGGGGAACAGCTGGGCTAGCAGGGGACTGCCTTTGGCCCTGGCCTCCCCATACCCTGACTTCTACTGGGGAGCTAGGCTTTGGACAAGAATTTGGGCTCTCCTCGGGGAGCAGCTGTGTCTCCCTTTAACTGAATCCCTCTCCCATCAGGTTGTTATTAACTGTGCCATCGTCCGAGGTGTCAAGTATAACCGGGCCACGCCCAATTTCCACCAGTGGCGGGATGCCCGCCAGGTCTGGGGCCTCAACTTTGGCAGCAAAGAAGATGCTGCTCTGTTTGCAGCAGGGATGGCTGATGCCCTGGAGGCCTTAGAAGGAGGTAAGAGGAGGGCCTTGGAATTCTGCAGCTGTACAGTTCTAGAATGTTAATGACAGGTTTGGAAGTTTGCTGGGCCCTGCAAGGTCTAGAAAGGAGCCTTATCTAGAGAGGAAGGGGGAAGGGAGGGCCAGTCATCAGATAGGCCTGGGGATGGAGGATGGGTAGCCTGTGGTCAGAGAGGACACTGGGCTATGGAATCCCTCTGTAGGTGGGCCCTTAGAGGTGCAGAATGAGCAGGAACCTGAGAGATTTCAGCGGCAGGATTAGAAGGATGGCCTCCTTGCTCCTTGACCACATACAGAACCATGTTGCTTCCTCTGGACCGTGTTACCCCTTATTGTGTGTTCCCCTATCTCTGCACCTGTTTTGTTCTCTGATTTCTCCCTGCCTGGCATAGGGTGGCATTTGGACCTATGCTCAAAGGATTTAGAGTTATTAGAGACATGGGCCATAAACCATCAATTAGTCTGGTGTTGGGAGATGGAAGGATGTGGGGCCCTGGGAAGGCTTGGAAGAGAGGTGGGTGCATGGCCCAGAAGGTTTTTGGGGTTCTGGAGAGAGACGTGTGTGGACAAGTTCCCCCAGAAGGAAAGGGCCAGAATACTGTCTGAAGTCCACAAGACTAGGGAGGGTTTTCTAGGAGGAGGGGCCATTTGTGGAGATGATCTAAAGATTCAGGTTGATGCCCTCTCTCCCAGGTGGGCCACCACCCCCTCCCCCTGCATCCTGGTCTGTCCAAAATGGACCCTCACCAGAAGAGATAGAGCAGCAGAGGAGGTAAATGATACCCCCATCATATTTTCCTTCCCGTTTCACCTGACCTCCTCCCTGCAGCCTTTGTCTTTCCCCCTCCCTCTAAATCCTATCCCTTGTGGACCCTGGTTGGGGGGATGGAATCAGGATCCACAGGCCCCCCTCCCATTTGATCCCCCGATTTAACTGGAGGAAGTAATCAGCTTCAGGACTGGGTAAGGCAAAGACTCTCAGCGGGGCTTCCTGCCATCCCACACCCCTTCTTTGACCTTCAAGAGGCCATGATGGAATTCAGGGGCACAGGGATGAGGTGGAGGCCCCAACTCCTTCCTCCCCTAATCCTCTCTCTGTTTTCCCGCAGGCAACAGCTAGAACACCAGGAGCAGGTGGAAAGAGACCGCCGGGTCCCCAATGCAGGTAAAGGCCCCCGGAGGGGGGGGGATGCTGAGACCCCAGCTCAGACGGCTTGCCACTGGCCAGTGCCTCTGTCCTCTGAGCCCCCACTGCATCAACTCCCATCAGATAACCAAGTCTCCTTCAAGCTCTGCCTTTTCTGCCTTTATCTCACTGGCGTCCCGGTTCTGTCCCTTTTCCTGCCTCGGTCTCAACTTCCCCTTCTGTGAAATGAGGTTGAGCTGGTGCCAGCTACTCTGACATTCTGGGTTCCAAGTTCTCAGTTTTAGAGGTTCCCCTTCTGCCCCCTGAGTCTCTGCTCCCTCTCTCAACTCCCAAATATCCTTTTGTTTGTGTGTTTCAGGAGCCCCAGCTGGGGGGCCCCCACCCCCTCCAGGACCCCCTCCTCCCCCTGGCCCACCCCCACCCCCTGGGCTGCCCCCATCAGGAGCGGGGCCTCCAGCCCTAGGTGGGGCGGGAGGCCCACCCCCAGCACCCCCACTGCCGTCTGCCCAAGGCCCCAGTGGGGGAGGCGGGGGTGCCCCAGGCCTGGCTGCGGCCCTCGCGGGAGCCAAACTCAGGAAGGTCGGCAAGGTGAGATTGTGCGGGTGCCTCTGGGGTAGCTGACACCATGTCCCTATGAGACCTGGGACATGACAGTGGCTCGCGAGAATCCCTGTCACACAATCACATACAGTGTGTGTGACTGTGGAAATAGCAGCCCTGATCCCAACTGCTCTTCACTGCACAGTCTTGGTGAGCGGGGGGAGTGTGAGGAGCAAAGAGAAGCTGGGGGCACTCCCAACGTGCCCTCCGACCTTTCCCCCTTGCAGGATGAGTCCTCCGGGCCCCCTCCCACCCCAAAAGCTGAGAGCACTCGGAGCACCGGGGGAGGGCTAATGGAAGAAATGAGCGCCATGCTGGCCCGGAGGTGAGCCCTGGGCCAGGGCCCCGTTCACCCACCCCAAGCCCTCAGCCATGGGGTCGCAGGACCATGGTGGGAGAACTTGAGGCCGCTGCTGCTGTCTAGTATTTCTGGAGTGCCTACTGTGTGCTGGGATATCGTGGGTGGTAAGGGGGCAGAGAATGGGCAAATGGGACGTACGGTTCCCAGCTCTGCATTTAAGCAAACCTCAGCTCCCCGTGCATAAAGCTGGAAGGAGCCTTAAACCAGAAGAGATCAACCCTTCCAAGGAGCCTTAGAGACCCTTTGTTGTCCAGTGGCAGGGACTGAGACCCAGAAAAGGGAAGAGAATTACTTACTCAGGACCACACAGCGAGAGGGACGGGTCAGGGGCCAGAAGTGCAATGGAGAGGAGGAAGGAGGGGGAGTCTGGATGGGGAAGGTATGAGGAAATCATGCCTGCATGCAGGTGGGGGGTGGGCTAGGATGCCTCAGGAGGGGGCCCCACACTCACCCCACATCCACTTCCGGCCTCAGGAGGAAAGCAACTTTGATTGGGGAGAAGCCCCCAGCCAAGGACGAACCTGCCAATGTGAGTGGGGAGCAGGGGGCTTCCTCTTCCCTATCTCCCCGCATCTCCCCGAGTTTCGACTTCCAACTGTCCCCTAGCTGCCGTGAGGAAGGGAGAGAGGAAGGCGGGTGGCACCTTTCTCCCTTCCCCAGCCCTGATTCTTTGGGAGGTGGGGAGCATTGGCACCAGTGAGAAGGGACTGAGTCCCCTTTCTCCCTTCCCAAGCAGGAAGAAGCTGAAACAAGAATTCCCACACAGAATGGTGAGTTTGCCTGGTGCTGTTCTGAGCTGGCTGCCTGCCTCTGGGGGAGGGGGGAAGGCCCTCCCAGCCCCCAGCCTTCATGTCCCCCTTTCTTTTCCCTCACCCTCCAGAGCCTGTTCGGAGACCATGGGAAAAGAATAGCACAACTCTACCTAGGTGAGTGCAAACTACCTGGGGGGCCGGGAAGGGGTGCCCTGGGCTGGCACTCGCAGGGACTCACTTTGAAGCCTGTCTTTGCCCGTGGCACCTGGATGACCTCGGAGCAATCCTTACTCCACTCAGGTTTCAGTGACACGAGGGAGTTGGAAGTGATCATGTCTAAGGTTCTGCCTATCTAAGTTCTAGGGTTCCTCCTAGAAGGTGTGACTTAATCCCTGGTCCTTTCTGGGTCTCAATTTTCTTATCTGTAAAATGGAGCATGGAGGATCCCTAAGAGCCTTACCAAGTCCGTCATGACCCCCACCCTAACTTCACCTCAGACAAGTGGGGCACTACCGCTAGGCGGTCCCATGGCGGAAGGCCCAAGACGCCAGGTCCAGTCTCTACACTGGCCTGCCCAACTCACTGTTGGACACCACACACGGGTGCTGATCACTCTCTGGGCTTGGATCACCATGAGGTACAACGGAGGGCGGAGAGGTTTCTCTGGCTTCTACAAGGGCTAGTGAGGTGGACCTCACGTCAGTAGAGATCTAGGTTCAAATCCAGCCTCTTATATTGGCCAGGAAGTCCGGCCCCCTTATCTTACAAGTGAGGACACCGAGTCTGAGGGAAGTTAAGTGACCTGCTCTCGGTGATACAGACAGGAGCTGAGCAACAGTGGAAATCCACATCTTCTGACCAGAGGGGTTAGCGGTCTTCCCACTGGATACGAGTCTCAGTTTGCAAACATTCCCTGCAGATACCCCAGGGTTATTATGAGAAGTACAAGTGAAATGATGTCTAAAAACGCTCGTTGTACAAATAGCAGCTGGATTCCCAGGCCCCTTCCTGCTCAGATGTATGAACTCTATTTCTAGGAAGGATACTTCATTCTCCACCACAAAACGAGACAGTTTAAATGGATCATGCTAATTTGGTAGAAATAATGCTCTTTTGGAGGGGGATAATGTGGGTCATCCCATCCTCCCAAACCCTATTTCTGTACCTATCCTTCCATCTCTTTCAGGACGAAGTCTTCCACATCAGCAATGAGCTGTGAGGCCCCTACCTCGACTCCCAGTACCCATGAGGAGTCTGACTTAGACAGGATCAAGCAGGTAGGGGGGAGGGCCCCAGGAAAGGTGTGATCTAAGATCCCTGTGTCTGACCATCTCTGCTAACCGTATGGGAGTAAATGAATGAGGGAGGGAGGGAGCCTCCTGAAATCCAGTGCTCACTCCAACTCTGCCCCTGTTTTGGGGAGAGCCTCTAGGGTGGGAACTTTGGAGGGTGTGGCAAACTCCTCCCCCAGGAAAAAGTCCAGCCAATGAGGGTTGGGGTGCGTGGCTTGGGGAACCTTCTGATGCCCCCTTTTCCTGCCTCACAGGAACTGCTGGAAGAGGTGCGGAAGGAGCTTCAGAAAGTGAAAGAGGAGATAATAGAAGGTGAGTGGGGGCGCTGAGGGGAGAGGTCGGGGTCCCAAGGGCTCAGCACTGGAGTCAGGGGTCCAGCCCCAGTAAAGCTGAGGGCTCTGACTGGCCCAGCCGCTTCTCCAGCCTAAGATGCCCTGCGGCTGGGCTCTGTCCATGGTCCATTCGAGGTGGACTCGGGCTTCCCCTCTCATAAACTCTTTTCTCTGTCTCTCCTCCAGCTTTTGTCCAGGAGCTCCGGAAGCGGGGCTCTCCGTGACCAGAGGCACCTGGGAAGGAAACGAGCCCTCTCCCACTCCCTCCTGCCTCCAGCTTTGGGATGAGCTATAGAAGCCTCCTCCACACCATGGCCTTCGGCCCCCTTGGAAGAACCCAAGGAGGCGGCGGCCCAGCCCTGCCATATCCTCCTGGCATGCAGATTTGAGGCAGGGGGCTCCACCTCCCCCTTCTATTCTTGGTCCATTCCTCCTTTCATCCCCTCGGGGCTCCTTCCTCTGCTTGGGACACATCGCTCAGCTTGAAGAAGGAAAGGGGAAAGGGGAGATCATGTCTCCCCTTCCTGGGGCCCCTCTGAGGGCCCAATGCTCACTTTAATCCTTAGAAGCCTTCAATTTTTTTAAGAAAAAAAAATATATATTTGTTTGGGAGGGAAAGGGGGGGGACTTTATTTGTTTTTGATAAGGGTGGGGTCTTGGCAGTCTTAAATGCTGTAATCCTAGCAGTCCCCCTCTGGGGGTGTAGTTCTTCCAGGGGGTATAGGGAACCAGGACCTCTCCCCACTGCAGGGAACTCCCTTCTTCCCTCTCCCTCAAAATATTCCCCTTGCCCCTTTTCTATAAGCAATTAAGATTCTATGATTCTATAAAATACTGTAACATTTTTGGAAAAAATTTTTTTTTTTTTTTTTAAATTTGGGTAGGCCTGGGTTTTGGAGCCATTCCCCTGGGTGACAGAGTGAGTGGAAGTGAAACACCCTTCTAGGGGGTAGGAGGAATGTTCTCTCATCGCCTTCCTCATGTTGAAGTGGACTCAGTTGGAATAAATCTACCCTTTTCCCTATCACACAATACACTCTTTGGGCTCTCCAGTGTTTAGCAAGCTCTTGGTCTTTGGCAAATGTCCTGCCTGGGCCCTCACCTGCTTTCCCCTCCCCAGCCCTGGTCTAGGATGCTGGCATGGCCTAGCCTAGGCCCGTCCCCTCCACCCCCCGCCCCCCACCAGCCCTGGTCTAGGATGCTGGCCTAGCCTGGGCCCTTCCCCACCAGCCCCGGTCTAGGATGCTGGCCTAGCCTAAGCCCATCCCCTCCACTCCGCCCCTACCTCCCGCAGAGCAGACTGTGGACTCCCTGAGGTCTAGACCATCCTCCCCCCCGGTGGGGTAAGGCGTGTGAAGAGTAGTCACATCTCTCAGACTGGGCCCATCTTCCCTGTCAGGCATTCACTCCCTCCCACATCCAAGTCTCAGCCCGTCTTCTCCAGCCTCTGAGACCACGGTTCAGTCCCTTCCTTGCTCAGTGCCTAAATTTACCCTTCTGGTTGAAGGAGGGGTCTCACGTAGCCTCCATCACCTGAAAGGTCCCATTCAGTCTGCATAACGGTAAACATTCAAACCTCAAACCTCAGAAGAGGGGCCACACCCATGTTCCCCAGACGAAACAGACCATAGGTGTATTGAGTTATTTGTGAGGCCAAGGCCCTCCCCTCCTTTAATTGTGAAGTATTCATAGTCATAAAAAATATAATCAGACCTGGGAGAGCCCTGCCCTCTGCCCCTCTTCCTCCAATACCATTAGTAGCTTCTCCCAGGGGGAAGGCGGGAGCAGCCACCAGTCAGGAGATCTCTCTCCCCTCCACACTGCCGGTGCCAGAAAACAATGAAGGGGTGCCCCCCGCCCTGTGGGAAGGCGGTGAAGAGAAGCCCTGTATGACATTCCACTGGGAAGACGAGGGCTCTGTCTACCTGGGAGGGGGGAGGGGGCACAGAAAGGCAGGTCTCTGTCAGAACCTTTCATGTGGCATTTAGGGTGGGCACGGATTACTGCTGACGTCAACCTGGGGGAGTGAAGATTTCAGAAATTTGGAAACGTTCCACGTCCAGTGTCAGCAATGGGATGGAAGGTGGAATCCTGGGCGGGGGGAACAGGAGATGAGGAGGGAAAGGCTGCTACCTGTGGCGGGGAGGGTATGGATTCACAGACCTAACCCAAGAGAAAAGGACACATGAGACCATCCCATTCCAAGAATCAAGATAACCCAAGGAAGGCTGGTCTGGGGCTGGTGGGAACAGTCTGGGATAAGAGATCTCCAGTGAGATACCCCCGAGAGACAGGAGTTCTCCATGGACCAAAAAAGGGGGTAGAGGAGTAGAAATGCCAAGCTGCACCATCACACGGATGGGTCTGAGGGACGGGGATATGGAGGGGGCAGGTTCAATGGGAATATCCCACCTTGGTGGAGTGGAGGATTCTTAATATCACGCACTAAGGAAAGGGAAGAAGGTGAGCAGATGCCTGGTATGAGGGAATGGGTCTGAGGAGCTGGGGGAGAAGATTCCAATATGAGGAGGGCTGAGGGGGCGGGAGGTGGAGATGACTACAGGACAGCAGCCCACTGGCCAATTCTTTACTCCCAGGGGGATGCCAGTGGAAGAAAAAGTGGAGCGTATGGCCAATCCCATAAGAAGAAACATGAGGACCAAGGGGGTGGGGGGTGGGGGAGGGAATGGGAAATGTCACACAGGACCATCGAATGCCCAAGGAGTGGTACGCTCCAGAGGGAGGTACCATGGCTGTTGGCCAACCGTCCCATGCAAGGGGGCCCAAAAGAGCATGCCGCCAGCAGGGGGCAGTGTGCAGAGGGGAGATGATGGCAGCCTCCCGGGGAAGCAGGCCTGGGCACTACTTCTCCTTTTTGTCGAGTAGCTCCTTGAGCGCTTTGACCTGGGTCTGCAGCTCATCGAGGGCCCCCAGGTGCCGGGAGACCTCCCGCTGCTGAGTCTGTAGGATTTCCACATTCAAGGTTAGGATGTTCAGCTCCTGCTGAAACGATTCCAAAACCTGGCGCTGCTCTTCTTCCTTGCGTCGCGTCTGGCTGGAGTGGCGGAAGTACTCAAGGACCAGGCAGGTGCCGCCCACCAGGAAGATGGTGGCCTCGCCCAGCAGCTCGGCCCCCAGTTCTGCCGCTGCCTCCTCATTCAGGGGTTTAATTGTGACTCCTCGGAAGCCCAGGATCCGCATCTTTGTCCGCATTTCCACCCAGTGGTACACTGCAGAGATGAGGGAGGGCTGGGGTGAGGCCAGAGCTGGGGGCCACGGCCAGAGAGGGCACTGACCACCTCCAGGAAAATGGACAGATGCCTTTCCCTCTCTGGTTTCCCCATCGGTGAAACCGAAATAGCCTCGAAGGTCCAGTTCTAAAACTGCCTGCTGGGTAATCTTGGCCAAGTCACCTCCCCTCTGAAGAAACCTCAATTTCCTCTATGGTGAAGTGGACCAGACAGATAGTTCTAAAGAGGAAGGGGGTGGGACTGGGGGATGCCTTCTGGAGAGCCTGCATGCTAAAGGTAGAAAGCAGGGGTTCTCAGCCTGCGGTCCACTGACTGTCAAGGAGAACTGGGAATAACTTCAGGGGGTTGGTTGGTGAGCTGGTGAAACTGGGAGAAATGTCTTTCAATGGCATCCGGTCCCTCTGTAATCCTGCCTACTCTGTTTTATGCATTTGAGACCTTTATTCTAGGAGAGGGCCCATAAGTTCAGCAGCCTGACTTCCAAAGGGGCCCATGACGTAAGAGAGGTCAAGAACCCCTGCCATAGGGAGTGAAGAAAAGGGTGGAAGAGGAATGGTCCAAAGAGATGCCCAAGAACTCCCAGGGCACAAAGATGCAAGAACAGAGACAGCAACAGAACTCAGCCTCAGAGGTCTCGACGCGGGGCACACAGCACAAACAGCGGGTGGTGGGAGTCTAAAAGCAAGGACAGAGAGTTGAGATAGGGACCACTGAGGCTTGCTGGGAAATGGAAAGAGTGAGGCTGCTGGCAGGGATGTTAGGAAGCCATATTCACACAAGAACACTGAAGTAATAGAGGGTGAAATGTGGTAGGAAACATTTGGGTGAAGATAAACCCAGGCAGAAATATATCATAGTCCTCTCAGGCAGAAAGAGGAAAGAGATAAGGAGTTTGGGAAAGAAGGGGGCAGCTAGGTGGCGAAGGAGATAGAGCGCCAGGCCTGGAGTCAGGAAGATCTGAGCTCAAATACAGCTTCAGACACTTACTAGCTGCGTGATCCCAAGCAAGTCACTTGACACTGTTTACCTCAGTTTCCTCATCTGTAAAAGGAAATGGCAAACCACTCCAGCATCTTTGCCAAGAAAACTGCAAATGGGGTCACAAAAACTCAGACACGACTGAAACAACTTAACAACAACAAAATGTTCATTTCAGCCTTCCCAAGTTGGAGGAATCAGGGACAGACAGGCTGATCTGAATCCAACTGTCACCAGCAAAGGAGAAATGGTTGCTTTGGTGAAAGAACAGGAATCATGGGAGACAAGAATTATTCTAACTTTGAATGTGAGGGTAGCAGGGTCCCCTCCATTGAGGCAAGTTGGGGATCACCAGATACAGATTCTAGATGTCAGGAAAAATAGCTTTGAAAGGATTTGCCCTCCTCAACTACAAAATCCCATCGGAGAAGCTGACCCAAACTACGTTTTGGAGACAGTCAATCCCCAGGAGTGAATGGTGTGACATAGCTTTCCACCACGCTGATATATACTCTTAGCTGGCATTCAGAGGGCCCAGCAGGCGCCAGGCCCTGCTGGACTACATTTCCCCATTCTGGAGGGGAACTCTTGGAGAAAGATACTGAAAAGCCAGACTGTGTCCCAAAGAAGACAGCCCTCAGATCATCCCCTATGTGGTCTAGCTGAAGGAAGTGGAAAATGGTTAGCTTAAAAGAGAAAATTCATGGAGGAAGGAACAAGAAAGCCTTTGAAGAGGTGTCACCAGAAAGGGGATTCCCTTGGCTCTCTTAATCTTGGCACAGTGGTCACGGCCTGCCAAGAGGGCATCTCAGGAAGCTTCTTCTTACATCGGACCTAACAGCTAGTGCCACCACCGGTGGATTCCCCAACATGGGGTGCCTACAAGCCACACTGTATGTAGGAGGGGAAGAAAATCATTCAGATCTATCTAGGTGGAACAGGAGGCGCCTGGAGGCCTCTTCCAGCTTCTTTGGGCTCTTTGAGTCCATGAAACAATCCCAAAGTGGAGAAGAAGGGGGAGTCTAGAGGGCTGCATGTGAATGTGTTAAAAAGACACGTCAGAAACGCAGGCAAAGTCAGGCAACAGGTAGACTAGAACACCATGGCAGAATCCCACAGAGACAGTCCCAGGAACATCAACTCTCAGAGTAATATGAAGCTTAGGAGGAGAGCTGGAGACAGCAAAAAGGTTCTAGAAATCTATACTGGGGGAAAGAGGAGGATAAAAAGGGAAAGACTGTCGCCTGGGGGCAGCCAGAAAGCTGATGAGTCCAAAGAAAAGAGCTGATCAGTCCTGAGTGTGCTTCTGTTTGTCCGGCCCAGACATTGATCTTTGGACTGGAAGGGTCAGGACAAAATGGTCAATGTGGAGAGGGTACCCCAGGTACATAAGTGGCCAGCAAGAGGACACAGGGCTGCCCTTGGCCACGGAGGCCTTGACAAACTATTTCCCAGGAAAATTCCAGAACGGAAGGCAAAGGATGGGATGCTTGGGTCTGTGAAAGGCTGTGGAGCACAGAAAGTGCCACAAATTCAGGACTAGAGACGGGCAAATCTTCTAGTCTTTCAAAAAGTGTCACCTGCACTAGAGGCCGCTAGGCTTCTAGTGGGCGGGCTGGTCATTTGTGATTTCATGACCATTTGAAGGGTCTGTGGCGGTATGCCCCAGGGATCTGGGTTGGGCCCTGTACCTGAATGTCTGTCACCAGTGCTTTGGGGAAAGGACACATAGACGGAAATCCTTCTCCAAGGTGAGGATGACCCTAAGCCAGGTGGGGCGGCTAACCCCTGGAGCCCGGTGTC